CGAGGAGGCCTTCAAAGGGCTGCAACGGGGCCACGAAGGGCAGCGAGATCCAGATTCCTAACTAATCTGTGAGGGAATCCTAAGCGTGAGCGCGACTCATGGGTGCCTGAGTGTCGGGAGCGCGGCGCTTGAGTAAATTGCGGGAAATTCCAACGCAAGGGCGCAATCCTTGAATGCTTCCAGCGAAAGCGCGACTCCAGTGCGCCGAGAGAGCGATTCCTCAATCAATCTCAATCAATTGTAAGCAAGTCCCAAGCGAGAGCGCGATTCCTGAATACAATGCGAGGAAGTCTCGGGCGGGAGCGGGGGTCCTGGCTAAATCGCGTGCAAGTCTCAGGCGGGAGCCGGTGTTGCAACCCGGGGGCCAACAACGCAGTTTGAGGACGAAGACTTTCCCTAATAAAATACAATGTGCGAGCGCCTGGAGGGGCACTTCAATCGAACAAATGCCATGTGCACCGGAGTGGGGGGGGATCAACAAGATTTGTTCTTCAGTAGTGAGAACTCAATGTCCTCATAACTCAGAAATCCGACGCACTAAAGCAAGGCAGTCTCAGCCTGAGAGGCTCTACAAGAACGTTTCGCGCAAACCATAGAAGACTCTTGGAACATCCACGGGTGGGCCTGCATGCAAGCTAGGACGCTTCGCCACTGCTTGAGGAAGAGCGCCCCAAGGCCCCGAGCCTGTCTCTCCCACACTTCTTGTTTGTTTCTCTGTATCTCTCTCTCCCTCTCTCTGTCTCTGTCTGCCATCTCTCTCTCTATCTCTCTCTCTTTCTCTCCCTCTGCCTTGTCGGCGAGGGCACCGTGCCCCCGGCGGAGGGGGGAGGCCAGCTGCCCTTTCGCCCCCTCCTTGCCATGGAGTTCGCCTGCGGCGCGCTCCGCTTCATTCTGCACTGATGCTGAGGCGTGCTCGAAACGGACGCGCTCTCGGTGGCCCTCATCTCTCTCGGGCCGGGCGAAAGGGGGGGATAGCAACGGAGGGGTTTGAGAATCAGCTCACGTAGCTGATTTTCTCGGCGCCTCCCGGCGCCGAGGCGCTCATGTATCGAGGAATGAGCCCGGCGGCGGGGCCGAAACCGGCTGCATGCAGCAGATTTCGTACCCCCCCCTTTCCCTATCCCCCCCCCCTCGTCTGGCCCGATCATCCCTCTCTCTCCCTCTCCCGCTCGCACGCAAGCGCTGACTGCTGGGAGCGGGCGGGGCGCGACGTGGGGGTCAGAGGGTGTCTTGCGGCATCGTTGATACGCGCAGGCGTGCCACGGCCCTCTCGTGGAACCGGCCGGGGGACTGAGCGGACTGAGTCCAGAGAAAGGTCAAGAGAGAGGATGGAGGTTAAGTCGCTCGAAATCGGTCCCCGGACCCCTCCCGGGGTCGAAATTTACAAGTTTGGCAAGCCGTGTCCAGCTGTGGCGACGAGAGGGCCTCTTTCTTCCCCTTCTCTGCTGGCAAGATCCAGTGCTGGGCCACCTCAGCCCCCCAGCCGACTGTAACCACCTCCCCCGCCCACTTCCACTTCCTCCTCTTCCCCAGCTGCCATATTATCCCTGCCCGTCCTCTCCCCCTTACCTTTCTGACTCGGCGGCCTCGAGAGGCCGACGTACTGCAGCTTGCTGTTCAGGTCGAAACAGGCGTATACGCCCATCTCCTAGATGAAGAAGGGGGGAAGAGGTCCGGCAACGTGAAAAGGGGTCACCATTGGGGGAGTCGTCACTTCCTCGAGGGAGCGCCATTAATTACCTCAAGAAGGTGAGCTCACAAGAACACTCTAGAGCCTTCCCAAGCAACCCAAAACGTTCAACAACCTTTTCAAGCTTCGATCCTGTAAACTCCGTTTCTAGGAGGAACTGGCGACCCGCCCACCTTGGCACTGCCCGAAGACGGAGGAGGAAGGAGAAGAGGGAGAGAAAAGCGATGGTAGAGGAAGGAATGGGATGGGAGAAAGAGATAATGAGGAGGACAAGGCTGATACGTAGAAGTGGCAGGCGGTAGAGAATGAAAACGATAACGGAAAAAATAAGACAATCAAGACGATGGGGAGGCACGAGTGGGACCAGGCAAGGGGAGGGGTTAACCAGAAGAGATGGACGGACTTCTCGGGAGCGCGGGGAGCAGGATACTGGGAAGACGCAGAGAACAGGGGGGGGCCTGTCAGGACGGCGAAAGGTGGCCATCCAACGACCCCAGTGCTCCCCATCATCCCAGAAGGATGCAAAAGGCTGCCCTGGGCTCTAAGACAAGAGTTAGCAAGACACGAACATCAGGGGCGGCCAAGAGGGGGGCATCCAAGAGGGGGGGGGCACAAATCATGGCCGGCGGCACGTGGGCGGCCCAGGGGGGAGGCCAGGGACGTACATGACAGTTTTCAATACATGGGATGTTTAAAAACCATAGGACTTTTAATACACTATCAATTTATAAATCTATGCATGAGCTCCTCGTTGTTTTTAGTACTGAATCCCTGCATGTTTAATCCATGATCCGCACGCGGAGAGTGTATTAAAAACGACACTGTAATGAAATAAGAAGAGGCGCCATGAAATCTGAGGTCATGTCATGGCCCACGCCATGATATCCCCCCCTAGTCATCACCCCCCTCTTGGCCGCCCCCGAGGACAACGCAAGCAAGAACGACTGAGTATCGTTTCACCGATCCTTATCCACAGCGGCGTGGCCTGGACCCCACTGGCCGACTTACCCCCCTAATTAGATGGGGATATAGGCCGCCCCCTTCGAGTTTCGAGGGGTGTATCCCCAACAAGGGTGGTAATTTGGTGGGGGTCTCAAAGGGGATGGGGGATGGGGACCGGACAAACGATACTGAACGACGAACGCACCCCCGGGGAGCCAGTAGCCCGGTGGACGCACCGTATCGGGCGCCGCGGCCGCTCCAGAACGGCCTGCCTGGCCACGCCGAGCAGACTCGGCCTCAGCTGGAGCGACTCACCAAACAAGGGCCCCCAACCCTTTGGGAGGGGGCCTAAGTCAGGAAGGCCATAACCATTAGGGATGTAGGTGGTCCGTTCTGCAGATGTATCAGAACAAACCGCCCAGAACGATTACCCAATGCGAAGACGTGGATCTCAGTGAGGCCACGTCTTCAGCGTGTTATTAGGGTTAGGGCGTCTTTTCTGCTCGATGATGGAAGGCCCAACACCCGCCCTCGGCGGGAAATCTTCTTGAGCGACCCGCCAGGCGCACCTGGCTGCCGATACTTGCGTTTCAGGACAGGCGGGAAGTCGAAGTTCTCGAGGGGGGAGCGTAGAGAAACCAAAAACCGCATTAGAAACACACTTTCGAAGGTCCGCGCGGATCTCTCGGATCTGCGCTGAAACGCCCCTCCCTGGCGCGCGGAGGGCGCCAAGGGCGGCGCCGGAGGCGCCGCCAGGGGGGCCCAGCGCCGGTCCAAGAGATCTGCGCGGAGCTCCGAAAGTTTGTGTGCATGTGGGTGTTTCCTCCTCGAGGCGAGGAGGAGAGCCTGGACTGGAAGCCCAGCAGGTGCATGGGCAGAAGCCTGGCGCCTCTGCAGCAGGGCCGCCGTCCCGCCGCGCGCTCTCAGGGGGCGGTGCACACAGCGTGAGGCATCTACGGGAAGAGCGCACGACGGCATCGGGAGGTCAGAGAGGGGAGCGAGCGGGGAAAGCTGCAAGCGATCAAATGCCGAGGCAGATTACCTAGTTCCGTCGACAACCCGAGGGCGAAACCGCACGACAGAACTCAGGTACACGAGGGCCTCGAGAAACGGCAAGATGCGCGCCAGCTAGCTGAAAGATCGTCTATAAACTGCTAGACATGATAACAGCAGCGCCACGAGGGATAAGGGCCGCAGACGAATCCTCATCACATCAATGATGTTCAGAGGCACTGGTCGGGCGACATTTCCAGGTCTCCAGACTCGGAGCCCCTAAACAATTGTTTTGCGCCTTAGCTGCGCCGTGCCGAATTGGGAGGCCCCGGGGAGCTCGGTCACTGGGAGAACTAAAGACGCTGGCGGCCAAGCAAACAACGCCAGGTCAACGGTGCGAGGTTGAGAATCCCACCAGCCCTCTGGGCGTAGGTGGTTTAGGGAGTTTCCTCTTCCAACCTCCTTCTTCCCCTACGGGGAGGGGTTTACCCCTCCCCTGACCCCTCCCCTGGACCTGGACGGGGGTGGTCGCGATGGGTTGGAGCGTCTAAGATTGCCCAAGATGGGCTCCAAGAGGGCTCGGAGAGGCCAAGATGACCTCCAAGAAGGCTCAAGATAGCGCACGATGCGTCAAGATGGCTCTCAAGATGCTCCAAGAGGCGCCAAGAACGCTCCACAAGAGGCCTCCGAGACTCCCGATGAGGCTTCCAAGAAGCCAAAAACCTTCAAACACCTAATGAAAATCAATGATGTTTGCCTTCTCTCGCCTTTTCGCTTCCGATGGCCATCCCAGGCCTCACGATGGCTCCAAGATGGCCCCAAGAGGGGCCCCAAAGAGGCCCAAGACGGCCCCAAGAGCGCTCCAAGAGCGCCCCGAGACGGGTTTAGGAAGCGATGTTTGGCGTTCTGGAAGAGCAGCGCTAATTAAGGACCCCCCCTTCTTTGATCGATCTCCTCCAGGATGGCCCAAAGAGCGCCCCTAGAGCTCCCAAGAGTGTCCCAAGAGGGCCCCAAGAGGCGCCCAGACGGCCCCAAGAGGCCTCCAAGAGGCTCCCAAGAGACCCCCAAGATGCCCCCAAGAGGCTTCAAGAGGACTCCCTAGGCACCCAAGATGCCCCCAAGACGATCCAAGAGGCCTGCAAAAAACTCGCAAGAGACATCCGAGGAGGCTCTTATATTCGTCATGTTTTTGTTTGTCATCCTCATCCTTCTCCTCCTCCTTGTCCGCCTCCTCATCCTCCTTTCCCTCTACTTTTTCAGCCTACTCCACCTCCTCCTCCATTCCTCTCCTCTCCCTCCCCCACATTATCTTCCCCCTCCACCTCCTCGTCCTCCTCCTCCTCGTCCACTTCCTCCTCCTCCTCCTCCTCCGCCCCCCCCCCCCCTCGCGGCCAAAGCAGCGACGACAGTCGACGACGACGAAGACGACGATGACGACGGCGGCAGCGGCGGCGGGAAAAGGGGGCGGAAGTCGGAGCAGCAGCAGCACCACCACCACCAGCAGTACCAGCAACAGCAACAGCACCAACAGCAGCACCCGCACCATTCGCTACCAGAGATCTCCCAATTCACCGTTGTTGCCCACGCTGTTTCACTATTCACGTGTCTTCATCCCTTCTCCCGTCCCTTCTCCTGCACATCGTTTCTGGATGGGCTGGTGGGAACACTTTTTGGTCAACAGGCTCGCGAGGCGGGTCGAAAGCCGTCCGAACACTAGTCGGGCCGCGACCCGGCAGCAGGAAGAGAAAGGCAAGCGAAGCGAGCGAGCGGGCAGCCACTCAGAAAGCCAGACCGGTATTGGTGGGGCCCCGAGTAAATCGGTCAGGAGGGGAGGGATGAAGGCACCTCCGCTCAACATCTGTCCGGTACAAATTTTCACCCCAAATTCATTTTTGCAGGTCCCGCGGGGCCCGAAGGCGGCTCCCGGATACCGAAACAAGCAAAACATAGTCGAACCTGGCACCTCGAAATTGCCCCCCGCCCCGCCCCCTCCTGCTTGGCCGGAACCAATGCTGAGCCACCTCCGGTTCCCCAGCCGACTCCAAGTTCAGAGTCTTGGGGGGGGAACGGCGTCATCGACGACTCGCGCGAATCGGGGCACAAACAACGGCACACACACACAACATCTCTCAGAGGTTCCGGGGCGGCGCCGGAGGCGCCACCGCCGAGCCAAGAAACCCGCGCGGACCTCCGAACGCTCGTGTGTGTGTGTGTGTGATTATGCGCACCCCGAGCGAAGGCGCGGCGCCCGTCGAGCGCCACGCCCACGGGGAGCGCGCCGCGGCTCGCGAGCGACAGCAGTTGTCTGATCCGCAGGGGGCGCCGCGGAGGCCACGGGCAGAGAGTCTGAAGCTGCGGGGTACACGTCGTCAGGGTTAAGTCGGGCATGTCGTCCTACAGGGGGATTTTTGGTAAAGAAACAGAAGTACGCCATATTTACTTATAAACATCAATCAAAGAATGCTATGAAAATCGTCCCCTGACTTTTTTGACTACTTTTGAATATTCCTCCTGTAGAGGGACAAGTCCGACTTAACGTTGTCCAGCTCTGGAGGCGAAACATCGAGTTGGACTCGGCGACACATAGCCGACAGATCGGCGATGGGCCCGCGGCAGCAAATCCGCACCTTCCTGGGCGGTGTGGGCAATCGGGCCCCATCTGGGCGATCGATGGGCGGTTGGGGGTCGATGCATCCCCTCGTGACGTTGCCTCGGAGACACACGTCGCACCCCCGGGCAGAAGCAAACGTCGCCCGCGGGAAGGTTGCGCGACACTCCCGGCGCTGGGAGCGTGCGCGAGCAGCACACTGCCAGGCGGACTTGGTGTTATCTCGAATGCCAGGGCGGAAGCCGTCCAAGAACACCCCAGAAGCTTCCGAACTCGGCGCGGGCCCAGACCCGATGCGCGCTCGACGGCAGAGGACCACGTACGCCCAGATAAGAAGCGCTGACTATCTGAAACTGCGCGTTGAAATCCCCCGCAGCCCGCAAGTTTGGACGCCCGAGATGGGTACGTACGGAAAAAGATGTACGATGCCCATCGGCAGATGCTGTCCAAAAAACCGACAGCGGCCGCTTATTGGCCAGGCGGCCTCCTGCCTCAAATGGGCAACGCCCGCAGCGACACCGACAGCGGACCCTGCCCAAGATGAGCAAGAACGCCTGTCGGTCTCTGTTCCCATGATTGCCGTACAGTAGGGGCCCGACCACAAGAAACCTTCCGCAAGGAACCAACCCTGAGACCCCAGGACGTCCATTGATTTTTGGTGTGGCAACGTCGCGCTCCCCAGGGCAAAACCATCGAAACCCAAGAAACCCGGGGCACCCTGGAGGCGAGCAGGGTGTTTCTTGGCATGGGCCTCCACTGTACCCCTGTCGGCCGTGCCCAGCAGGCACTGCGCGGCCTGGCCGAGGCACTCGCGCGCCAGGCGCGCAAGGACCTGCGGCCTATGGACGTCCAGGGCGCGCTGGCCGTGCAGGCAGCCAGGCCAACGGGCTGCAGGAAAGCGAGAACTGATCGCGTGGATGTCTGGCACCAGGCGCGCGCCGTCTGCAAGCACGGCGGAGGCGAGCTTCGTCCCGCGGAAGCCTGGACGCCACCCTTCCGATGATTGGGCTGAGCACCGTGCACAACGCAAAGACGTCTGCGGGGCAAACCTGCCTGATCCCCCTGCCTCGGACCATCCAGCATGATCTGAACGGTGATACCCTCGCATAGCCTAGCAGTCGCGCGCGAACGACGTCAGACCCACACCATAGATCACGCACACCCGCCAACCAAAATGCTGGAGGCAATCTGGCCTGTGGCAGCTGGGACACGTCCAATTCGCCCGTGATCGCGTCGACGTCCGTCAAAAAAGTGTTAGCCTGCGGTGGGGGAGTAGCGCCACAGCGCAACGGGCTGACTACGGGCTGACCACGGCGGCAACAGCAGCAACAAGATCATCTTCGTAATATCTACAAAGATAATACGGGTCCCTTCTCCTCCTCTTTCGCCTACTCCTCCTCGCACAAGGTTGGAACTCCTGATGAGCGAAATCTACATTGACCCGCAGAAACTGTATATGACTAAGGCGGAAAGATCAGCCGGGGGGGCCAGGCAGACTCGAACCTGAAACGCTGGAATTGGAAGCGTAACTCTAGGAATGCAAGTCGAATGATCTTGGACCTAGACGGGAACCAACACGATCAATGAGAACACTTGAGGTCTGAACTCCCAAGGAACGCCACTACGTGGACCTGCTAGAACTCCTAGAACATCTCCTACTCCACGTCCTCCTCGCCCTCCCTACGTCCTCCGAATCCTAATCCTCGACCTCCTCTTGCAACTACTCCTTATCCGTCTTCCGCTATCAGTCTTGATCTTCATCACCGTCATCTTCGCTATCAAACACTATCCTCATCAGAAGCACGAATTATCGTCATCGTCATCACCAATGGTTTTAGTCATAATCGTCAAGCCTGCTAGGCCCCGTACCTTTGCCAGCGCCGCAGCTATCAAAGGCCGCCGAGCACACGCCTGCATGTCAAGCTCTGGCCCACAATGGCAGCTGGCCCCAAACCGCTATCCAACAACTTCCCGAACTCTGGCTTCCCCGATTCGCATGACCCGATTGCGGTCGCGGAACCCGGCACGGAGGTGCTGTTGAGCCAGCATGGGTAGCTGTCGGACCACCACGCGCCTGAGCAGCAGCTCGGATCGTAGACGAGAGGCAGCGTTGCTCGCCACTACATCCGCAGAACTTCCCACGACGCCGAGATCCGCCGCTGTCTGGGCCAAGAGCGCGCTGCTGCAGCGGCAGGGGTAGTTCCCAAAGCAACCCAGACATGGGGGGTAGGTGGGGTCGTGGACAAACGGGAGCCCCGTCTGATTCCCAGCAGCTGGCAGCACACCCGCTTGGTGGTGCCATCGCACGGGCAAGGACAGACGTCGAAGCAGACCGAGCCTGCGGGGTCGAAAGCGAACGGCAGCCCCCTGTAACCGCCTGGCACCTGGTGGCAGCCTGCCGTGTGGCTCGGCATAGCGGCCGCCGCCAGCTGCGTCAGGGACATGCTGACGGAGGGGCAGGGGTAGCCAAAGACGCAGCCCGTGCCTGCGGGAGACGGGGCCGCGCACCAGCGGCCCAAACCAGAAGAGGCAGCAAGGTGCAGCTGAGGTCGAAGACCATCGGCAGCCCCGTGCAACGGCCAGCATCGGGCACGAACCTGCCGCGCGGCCACTCAGGAGGGCCGCCGGCTGCCCCAGGACTGCGAGGCCGTAGCTCCTTGATGCCCGGCACCCGGTGGAAGTCGAGCGCGGTGGAGGTATGACACTGGCCAGGGTAGCCCTCGAAACAGCCCGCGCCTGCGAAGCGGCAGCGGGTTCCAAGTGCTCGTTAACCGGGGGGGCAAAGCATGCGGGGTGAAGAACCGTGCACCTTTCGTGCACCTTTTTTGGCCCGCTGTGGCACGGTGGCAGTTTGGGGGCCATCCAAGGACCATCCTCGATATCCCAGCGCTCATGGCCCCCTCGTTGCCACCCGTCCGAATTGTATAGGGGAGCGAACAATGACATGAACACAAAAACTCGGAGGTCCTCGCGGATTTCTCGGATCAGCGCTGGACCCCCCTCCCTGGCGCTCGCGCCGATCCGAGAAACCCGCGCGGACCTCCGAGTTTTTATGTCTACGTCATTTGTTGTTCCCCTATTGTAGACGATCGGCAACCCCAGGCTGAGGCTCGGCGCCCGAGCGACGGAAAAAAAGGTCTTACGCGAGATGGCATCGCGGCATAGCAAACGTGCGCTGTGACCTGCGCGGGCCGCCAGCGCGGCACGCCACAAACACATCGGCAACGACGACGCGCGACAGTACGCGGGCCGCTTACGCGCTACTCGCCACCGCCCGGACGTCCATTCCCCGTGCACTGTTCGGCTTCTTCGTGCGCGTACTCTTTTCGCAAGATGACCCAAGATGCCTCTCGGTGGTCTTCGCCAAGGGGAACAATAACACACGTCCGAGCGGTGCCCAGGCCAATGTTGGCACAACCGCTCCCGCTTTTGTTGCGTCGCTCACCCTGCACTCTGGATGGGACAATAATCGCCACCCCCTTGAATCCGCTGAGGGGGTTGGGCACGTGCTGTCGGCCCGGTTGGAGGGGGGGGGGGGAGGACGAGGAGGAGGATGAGGAGGGGGAGGAGGACGGAGGGGGCGGCGGGATTGGGCAGGCTCAGTCGGCAGGGTCATCACCCACCTTGATAACTGCCCCATCCAGAACAGCCTTCCGCCTCGCTGCTGGTCTCCCCCGGGGCGGCGCGGGGTCGCACCGCGCGGGCCGCGGGCAGGAGGGCCGCCCGCAAGGGGGGGGGGAGGCGCCCCGCCCCAGCGGAGACGGACCGACGGGCCGCCGACGCGCGAGGCGCTCGCCAGCCCCGCGGCGGAGAGGCGCCGCCCAGGCAGGCCCCGGGCCGCGCTTCGGCTCGAGCAGGAGTGGCCCGTGCGAGGACCCACCAGCCCGAGGCGGCCGCAGTCTGGGGAAGCACTATGCTGACATGTTTGTGTGGCGAACCCTTGCCACCATCATCATCGTCATCGTCATCGTCATCGTCATCGTCATCGTCATCATCATCACCATCATCATCAGCATCATCATCAGCATCAGCATCAGCATCAGCATCAGCATCAGCATCAGCATCATCATCAGCATCATCATCATCATCATCATCATCATCATCATCATCATCATCATCATCATCATCATCATCATCATCATCATCATCATCATCATCATCATCATCATCATCATCATCATCATCATCATCATCATCATCATCATCATCATCATCATCATTGAATCATCATCATCGTCATCAGCAGCAGCAGCATCCTGCTAATCCTCATCATCATGATCATCCGCATGATCATCATGATCCTCATTCTCGTCCTCGCCCTCATCCTCGTCAGCATCCTCATCCTCATCCCACTCCTCAATATCCTCATCAACATCGACAAGACATCCTCCTGCTCCCCTCTCCTCCTGTTTCTTCTCCCCCACCTGCACCTCTCTTGTCCTCCCTGTCGTCTTCTTCCTGCCAGATCGGCCCGACTCGGAGAGAAAAGTCTGCGGCGGGACGGCGAGACTCGACAGGTCTTGGCTTAATTTGCCACTAACGGCCAGAGGCCCTCCACACATCGAAGCCTCCCACGCGCGCAAATTGCGCGCTGAGGGCTCCTCGACCTGGAAGGCTTTAATTTGTTCCCAGAACAGTGGCGTGGTCAACCGCAAGAAAACACATGCACGGCAAAATTGCGAACCCCAAACGAGTGGAGCGGGACATATCGCCTTAAACAATGTTTTTCGATTTCGTGTTGTTTTCGTTTCCCCTTGTTTGTCTTCAATCCGTCTTTGCTGCAAAACGAATTCGAAACGAAAACGGCCCACGAAAACGCCAAAACACCGTTCAAGTCGACCCCTGTGCAACAACGGCGAACCAAAGGACATGCAAAATCAACCGTGATGCGGTACAATTCTGCCATACAGAACCCCACGTGGCCGCGCCTAGATGCATGAGGAAAACCTGGGAAACTATCGGAAAACTGGTGGACGGAACCCCGGAGAAGCCAGCCCCCTCCGAAGCATGACAGAGACCTTCCCACAAAAGCTGCAAAAGCGCTTGCAATGTGTCCTTGCATCGCTTATCCAGGCCACCCGGATGGGGTCCGAGTAGATGATGTCGGAGGATCTCGCCGCAGCGCCGATGCTTCGGTGCTGCGGCTCGATGTAGACACGATGCTCTCCATGCCAACACCGGCGATGCGTCGCCGCCGGTGCATCGGCGATGCGTCGGAGATGCGGCCAGATCCTCCGACCCCGTCTACTCGGACTTCATTTGGGAGGCCTCTGAAGAGGGAACGTAAGTCGGGTCGGGCGAAAGGGGGGGATAGCAAAGGGGGGGTTTGAGAATCAGCTCACGTAGCTGATTTCCCCAGCGCCTCCCGGCGCCGGAGGCGGCTATGTATCGAGGAATGGGCCCCTTGGTGAGGCCAAAACCAGCTGCATGCATCAAATTTCGTAACCCCCCCTTTCCCAATCCCCCCCTTTCGCCCGACCCGAGTAAGGGGGGCAGACTCAGGGAGGAAACGCCGAGTTTGCATCGTCCGTGCATCGCCCGTATATCGGCAACAACCCTCGATAGCGAAACCGCCCGCTCCGTGGGCGGGGTGGGGCTGTCGGGTTCCTTATGGGCGATGAATTGGCGATTGAGGGTCGATGGAGATAGCCTGGAAGAGACCCCCCCCGAAATGAGACCCCCTTCCCTTTATTACGAAATCTGGAGTAGTCCCCCCGAACGGTGCCCCTGACCCTTCAGATTACCACTGTGCCTGACCGCAACGACGGCAATCGAGGCGACGTAAGACTCGGGTTCGGGCGACTTGGGCTGGCCTGACGGGGCCTTCAGGACAATGATAAGACCTGGTCTGAAATTTGACGCGAGCTGCCGCTGCAAGCATCCCTCGAACAATGGACCTTCAAAACCCAGGACCCGTGAAAAAAAGTCGGTACACCCGAGCTCCCGCAAACTCGAATCTTCTGCTGCCCCGAGGCTAGCCAACATCCGGCCACGAAATTGAGCAGGGGCCGACCGTCCCGGCATTCCTAAAGGCCTATCACGAAACTCTTCCAGAACAAAAGAACGCTCTATAAACAACATATGTCATTATAACAGAAGCCGATCTATATAACAACAAGACAGCCTCAGCCATACATGTTCTAAGAGCATTTCGCGCAAACCACAAAAGAAGGTTCTTAGAACTTTCTTTGGTGGGCCTATGGGCAAGCCAGGACGCTTCGCCACTGCTCGACATAAGGGTGAGCGCCCAGCCGCCACCCCGAGGCGGCACCGGCCCGCCGCACACAGGGGGCACCGCGCCTCGGCGAACGCCGGCGCCTGGAGGGGCTCGGCGCGCCGCGACACGAGGGGAGCCTCCGGCACGGGCTTGTCGATGATCCTCAGACCGTGTGGCAGCGCCAACGTGTGTTCGAGGCCCTTCACTACTACGCACGCACTAGGGGGCGCAACGAGGGCCGACACGGGCTCCGCGTCCTCGGCGGAGCCGAACGGGGTAAACACACGCTTGGGCTAACGCACGTCCTGAGGATCATCGAGCTTGGGGGCAGCAGCGGCGCCCGGCCCGGAGAAGCTCGGCCAGGCCGACCTCGGCCAGGCGGAACTCGGCCCAGGCCGAGTGCGGCCTGGCCGAGTCTTTCCCTCGTCGGAGGAGGGCAGGGGGGTAGGGAGAAGTTCTGCAGGGCGGGACAATTTGGCGTCCCGAAACGGTGCGGTGACGGATCTTGCGGTGACCTCGGAAGCCCAGGAGACCTCGCCGCACGGTCCGTCACCGCACGGTCTTGGGACCCTAGAGGCCCCTGTCGCCCGACACGTCCTCGGGCGGTGACCCCGAATTCCCACCGACTCACCGCACGGCGTGGTCACCGCACCGTGTGGGGGCCCCCGAAGGCCACCAGCCAGAGGGGCAGCAGGAAAGGGGGGGCGGCACGGCGGGGGTTGCGGGATTGGCCGCGTCCTGAGGCCGCCGTCCGGAGGGGAGGGAGGGGGGCAATGGAGGGCAATGGAGAGCAGCGCTTCAACTGGAACAGGAGCCCGCCCTCGCAGGGGGAGGGGGGGGATGGAGGGCGAGGCCGAGGAGGGCAGGAATGCGGGGGAGGAGCGCAGAGCGACGAGGAGCGACGAGGAGGGGTCACACGCCCTCGGCCCTCCCTTCCTCCTTCGGGGGCGGCCAAGAGGGGGGCGTCCAAGGAGGGGGGGCGCAAATCATGGCCGGCGGCATGTGCGCGGCCTATGGCCTATGGGGAGGGGGGCCAGGGACGTATTGGAGCAAGAAGCGGCGCTATGAAATCTGGGGAGATCGCATAGCCCCCGCCATGATATCCCCTCCCCCTTCCCAGCCATCACCCCCCTCTTGGCCGCCCCCCGTCCTCCCTCCCTCTCCGCCCCTGATTTCCAGGGGATCGGAGCCAGGGGTTTCTGGTTGACCTAAGAGGGGGTCCAGCAGAACGGGGGGGCGCAATAGGTTTGGAGCAATTGTATTGCAGACGTGTTGCCCGAGAGAATTGGATTGCATTGTGTTGCAACGAATGTAAGGTATTGCACGCGGAAAAATAGCAATACATCTGCGCACCGGCATGTTTCGTTTTTTGGGAATGGAAAGACCCGAAGGGAAGATGCACGGCACCAAAACGGTCACTCTTGAGACAGCCACTCTGGCTCAAAATTGTGGCCACCACCAAAGCGACCCTAATAATGCAAACGACATCAACTACTTGCCTCCAGAGGCTTCCTTCGAACGAGTCCTCAGAATTGTGGCTGGAATGTGCTGCACGCCCCAGATCTGTGGCACGCCCCGCAAATCAATGGCCCAAACATCTGTTGCACCACCCCCTTGCCGCTGGACCCCCTGTCTCTAGTACGTGGACGTACGATAACCTCGAAGAATGTCGTGCGT